TGAGTAGAATGTATATTCTGTGGTTGTTGGGTGGAATATTCTGTAGGATCTATTAAGTTCATTTGGTCTAGTGTCAAAGTTTAGGTTCTGGATCTCCTTGTTGATTTTTTGCCTTGATGATCTATCTAGGGCTGCTAGTGAGGTATTCAAGTCCCCTTATATAACAGTGTTTGAGACCATATCTTTTTTTAGTTTACTCAACAGTTGCTTTATAAATGCTGGTTTTCCTGTGTTGGGTGCATATATGTTTAGGATGGATATTTCTTGTTGATGGATTAAACCTTTTATCATTATGCAGTGTCCCTTTGCACCTTAAAGATTGTTTTGTCTGATATTTAGATCGTGACTCCTGCCTTCTTTTGTGGTTCACTTGCCTGGAAACTCATTTCCCATCCTTTAACTTTGAGTCTGTGTGCATCCCTTGTGGTGAGATGAGTTTCCTGGATGCATCAAACAATTGGGCCACAGTTTCTTATCCAGTTTGACATTCTGTGTCTTTTCTTTCTTTCTTTTTTTTTTTTTTCAGTTGGAGTCTCACTCTGTTGCCCAGACTGGAGTGCAGTGGCCGCTCCTGGCTACTGCAGCCTCTACCTGCTGGGCTCCGGCAATCCTTCTGCCTCAGCATTCCAAGTAGCTGGAACTACAGGCGCGCGCTACCACGTCCGGCTAATTTTTGATTTATTGTAGAGATGAGGTCTTGCCAAGTTGCCCAGGCGGGTCTCGAACCCGTGGGCTCAGGCAATCCACTCACCTCAGCCTCCCAAAGGCATGGGATTACAGACTGAGCCACCGAGCCCGGCTCTGTGTCTTTTCAATGGTGCAATTAGTCCATTCACATTCAGGCTGATAACTGAAACGTGATTGTTTATCCCTGTCATGAGCTTCTTATAAAATTTTTTGTTTGTTTGCTTGTTTTCTTTTAGCTTTGGGGCTGATGTATATGTGTGTTTTCAAGTTTGTTGTTGCAATGCATTCTCTGTTGATTCTGTGCTCTACTGTTCTCTTGGGAAGTGTGTGGTCATTCTTTTTTTTCTTTCTTCTGTGCTTAATACCTTTTTAGATGTCTCCTGTAGAACTGATCTGGAAGCTGCATAATCTCTTACAGGTTGGATGTCTGGGAAGGATTTAATTTTCCATCACTGATGAAGCTGAGCTTGGCTGGGGGAAAAATTCTTGGTTGAAATTGTTTAACTTTGAGGACTTTGAATATTGTACTCCAGTTCCATCTTGCTTGTAGTGTTTCTGCCAATATGTCGGCGACTATTCTGATTGGTTTTCCTCAGTAGGTAGTCTGAGTTTTCTGTCTTGCTGCCTTTAGGATTTTTTGTGTGTGTGCCTACTTTGTGTAGGCAATTTACTATGTGTCTAGGGGTAGGTTTTCTCATTTGCTGTCTCGTACGGGGTTCTCTTTGACTGGTCACATCTCTGGTGAGATGGGGAATGTTTTCTTGAATAACCTCCTGGAATACTTGCTCCAAGGTGTTCTCCCTTTCCCTTTCTTCTTCTGTGATACCAATGAGACATAGGTTTGGCCTCTTGATTAATCACACATCTCTTGTCGGTTTTGTTCTTTCTTTCTGAGTCTTCTTTCTATATATTTTACAGATTGGGTTAATTTTATGTTCTGGTATTCAAGTTCTGAGATTCTTTCTTCTGCTAGATTAATTCTGCTTTCCATGCTTGTCATCTTGCTATTTATTTCCTGGATGAAATTTTTTATGCACAAAATCTCTGTTACAAGTTCTTTCAGTGTTGCATCTCATCTTGCTTGAGTCTTATTCACTCTTTCCATCTATTCCCTAACCCCTGCCACATTCTGGGACCAGTCATTGGTGACTTCCATTGTTTAGGATCTGAGATCCGATTTTTCAGGAGTTTTCTCTTTGTTACAGTTGAAATTACCCGTGGTCTTCCATTGGTTTTTCTTCATTTGTGACAGATCTCTTGTTTTTCTCTTTAGTTCCATTATTTAGTGTCAGTGGACACTACCCTAAAATCAATACACACCCCAAAACAAACTGCAATAACAAAGTGAAACAAAACATATAAAACAACAACAACAAAAAAAAGGAAAACTAAACACACACACATACACCTAGCACAAAATGAATTGAGAAGAAAAAAAAAAAAAGACTGGGGGAAAAAAACCCCAAAGGAATTCAGATTAACCCTCGTACATGTATTCACACACCTTAAACTAAAAAAAAAAAAAATACAAAAAATAAAAAATAACAAAAGAGCAAAAGCAAATCAACAACAACAAAACCTAAAGATAAACACTCAATCGTTCACATAAACAGAAAACAAAAAACAAAAGAAGAAAAGAAAAAAGAGGAAAAATAAAAGTGGGGATATACAGATCAAACCCTCACATATACATTCACGCACAAAGGAAAAATACTTTAAAAATAGAACTAACAAACAAGCCAAAAAATTTTAAAAATTAAAAAAAAAAAATACAAAGAAAAAAGCCCCTGCCCTCTTGTGGCAGGTTCGGTAATTGCTCCTCTCGCCTGCTTCTCTGCTATCTCCTGAAGTGCTTCCCCCTCTTTCACTCTCACCCCAGTGTCCAGAGCAGGGAAGGAGTGGGGCAGTAGGGGTGGGTGTGGTTGCAGTCCTCTCCTCCCACTCTCATATAGTCAGGCAGATCTCCTCTGGTGGGGAGGTAACGGATTATCTCTTCCCCAGTTATGTACTTGTGGCGGATGCCCCAGCCAGGCCTGATCTGGAATGGAGTTCTCCTATTGTGGCTCACGTCCAGGATTTGTCTGGGTTCATCCCTCTCGTTATGCCCCAGCTGTGTGGGTCTGACATTCAGAGGACTGCTGGAGAGAAGGGTTGGGTCAGCCCCAGACTCACCACTCATCTCTTTGGAGTTCTTCCTTGTCATTTTCTGGCCACATCTTTTGTCCTGTGGCTGGACAGGAGAAGGGAGTGGGGCGCCTGAAACTCAGCACTCATCAGGTCCCTCCAAAGTTTGTGCTTTCAGGGTATTCCCTCTGGGTCACCAACAACCCCTGAGTAGTTGATCTGCTGGTCAAAGAGATCTGGTCTGTTGCAAGCACTTTTCTGCCCTGTTTTTGAGATGGTGGAGGAGTGCCTCTTTTGCCTTCTCCTGTAGGACTCTGCCTCTGGGTTTCCTCTGTAGCCCTTGCTGCCTGTGTTCGGCCAGGCACTGCAGTGGTGAGGCAAAGCCTGGAACTGGCAGTCTCTTTTGCTGCAGTGGTGAGGCAGAGCCTGAGGTTAGTAGTATCTCCTGCTGCTTCTTCGTAGGAAAATTTTTAACTGTTTAAAAAAAATGGTGCTGTGCTTCTGCAACCTGGGAAGTGCGGAGGACCAAGCAGAGCAGCAGCAACACCAGCTGCTTCACCAGGAGGGCCCTGGCCACTTGCTCATGAGTCCCCACTTAGTCAGTCTCTCTTAGCATTTTCTTCCCAGGGAGGGTTTGTTGATTTATGGCGCTAGGCTTCCCGGGAATCGCTAGGGTCCAAACTGAGTAGCTGCGGCACCAGCTGCTACACCAGGAGAGCTCTGGCTGCTTGCTCTGGAGCCCTCACTAAGTCAGCCACTCACACATCCACTCACTCACCAATACATACACAAAATTTTCCATACACTTACTCACTCACTCCAGGACTCACAAAATCTGATAGGCTCGGCCGCCATCTTCCCAACACCCCATCCTTTTTTCAACATGTCCTCAACACCTAGATTTCTACAACATACTAAGGACTCTCCCTTTCAAAAGACCATCACTGCCAGGAGAAGGCTTGCAAAGTAAATTGCACTAGCAACTAGTCCTACGCTTACCAAGCAAGTTTCAATCTTTGTCAGGGTGGTCAAAACACTATCCACGCCCTGGTCCTACTTACCTCTTCAGCTTCATCTCCTAGTGTCTTATCACTCTCCCCCATCTTGCTATAAATGCTAGCCACATTGGACCATTCACTTTCCCAAACATGCCTGTACTTCTCATCTCATTCACTTTCAGGTGGATTTTCCCTCCATTTGAAATTTCTATGCTCTTAAAGGATTACCTATAGAAACTCTACCTCAAAAAGGAACTCCCATGTCCCATGTGAAACCTTTCTGGTACCCACTCATGCAAAAGTTATTTTTCCTCTAAAATACAAATGCTTTTGATCTTACAAATACAAATTTCCTCTAAAATACAAATGCTTGGCTCTTATGCTGATCATCATGTTCTATATTCCTGTGTTTTCCCTCTTGGCTCTAGTCTTAAGGACTAAAACAATGCCTTATTTATCTCTACACTTGCACGTCATGAGACATTTAGGAGAAGCTCAAGACATAAGGTGGTTAGAATAACTTCTTCCTCTGGCGCCTCTGAGCCTATTAACCATAAGACAGGGCTTGACAGGCCAGTGAGTGCCTTTCCTCATTCCAGTCACAGAGGTGCTCAGGCAATGGATTGCAGCACAGTGACATCTTCACAGGTGAAGACTCAAAATACCATGGCACTCTGCAGACCTAAACCAGTTTATATTTTCACTGTCACAGATTATGCTAATCAACAAACCTAATTGCTTCTTTTAACGCTCCTACCCCTTGAGATTTCATTTATCTTTTCTGTCACTTTCCTTCCACCACACTTTTTAGCAGTGACTCCAAAATGAGCTGGGTTTTGTAATTGTTCTTCGATTAGAGCATTTATTTTTGCTTAGGACAGAATTTTTCAAGTGATCAAGCAAAGCCTAAAATCCCTTCCAGTCTTACAATATCATAGGTTCTATACAGAAGTAAAAGGGTGCTAGTTTGACTCACTGTCTTTGCTTAGGGAAATGGCTCGGCTCATTCATTCCACAATGTAATATTAAGACTCACTAACTCGGGTCTCGGTTCCTATAAAAACAAGGTTCCAGAATACACTGATACTCCAGAAGTGATGGATGAGGCTGACCAATATATACAGAGTAATCTCAGAAACACCATAGAAACAATGAAATCGGTACAATAAATGTGGTTATCCATATACTCACAACCAGATCTGAAGTCTTCATTCATCTCATCACATAAAGCCATATTGAAATTGTGTTCATTATTAAAAGATGTGTAATAAGCAAGGTCAGTGACCCATCTGCCCTCTTCATTTTGATAGATCACATTCTGGGGGACATCTGTCTCTAAAAAGTAAAATTCCAAAAATATCCAATGACACATGTAACAACTAAAATGACAAAACATTCTCAAATAATTTTTTAATTTAGATCACTGCCTTAGTTATTAACAGTACTGAAGTCTTCCCAAAACTAGTTAAAAAAAGAAAAACCCATTTCTCCAAAAGAAAAGTATCTCTTTGATGGAAGACAAGGCAGCCTTACTCAAACACACAAAAAAAGTTTATAATGGAGAATGAGAAATAAAGGAAAGGTAATCCCAGCACTTTTGGAGGCTGAGGCAGGAGAATCACTTGAGTCCAGGAGTTTGAGACCTGGCTGTGCAACACAGAGAGACCTCATCACTACAAAAAATAAAAATCAGCCAGGCATAGTGGCACATGCCTGTAGTCCCAGTTACTTATGAGGCTAAGATGGGAGGATCACTTAACCCAGGTCAAAGCTATAGTAAGCCATGATTGTGTCACTGTACTCCAGTCTGGGTGACAGAGTTGAGACCCTGTCTCAAAAGAAAAAGATCCTAAGACTTAGGCAAACTTCCACTAGATCTCTGACTAAAGACACTATTCCAAGCAATTCTTATACAAGATTAAAAAATTTTTAATCTATAAGACAAATATTTCATGGAAATAAATTTAAAAAGTATAAACATACATTTCTTTAATTCTATTTTTTTAAAGTCCACTTACTGTCTTTACTCTTTTCAATAGATTCATGACATTCACATGTTCGCCTCTCAGAAGTGGGAGACCAAAGAGTATTAGTGGGATTAATGTCATTGTCATTAAGAGGCTTCAAAGATGCTATGCCCGCATTTTTTTGAATGAACACAGAAGTCTCAGTGTCTAAACAACCATCCACAGGCAAAACTGTTTCTGCATCTGATGCCAAATGCTTATTTTGGTGAAAAGACTCTGCCCTCTGTTTTATGGTGTCAATCAGGCCAAAATCACCTTTATGGGCATTTATGCCATGAAAATTAACAGGGTTAAGTCTCACATCAGGAGCCTTGAGAATCTTTACCAGAACGTCTTCTTCTGAACTTTCCTTTAAAAAAAAAAAACAAAAAGTAATAGAGCAACAGCAAGTTTTGTTTTTCATAACTCATTCTAAAATTTATGGGAAAAAATTATATAGCTGATATAAAATATTATGTGAAGTAACAGAAAATACCGTATTCATTGTATTCTAGACTACATATGAACCAATGATAAGCAATCTATCAAAACCAAACTTTATAATGAAGCCACGGGAAAAATACATCAACAGATTCAGATACCAAAAATGGGTTCTACATGTTCATTACATTACAGGCTGACAGAAATGTCAGTTTAACTTTCATAATTACCAATAAGTCTCTATAAGGTGGTAAATCCATAAGTACGACCAACCTCATTAAATTAATATGAACAACAGCTCTCAAAAACACAGATGTTAATACTTGTTAACAGGAATAAAATAATAGATACTACAAATGCCGCTGAGAAGTCCAATAAAATCTGTATCTGACACAGTGAATTAAGCCAGTGCCTCAAAATATGTTCTCCAACACACATTTCCAAATGGGACTTCTTATTTTTTAAGATAAGAACTGCTTAAAAGGGGATCTAGTGTCTTCAATACTGTTTTTAGACAGTTTGCTACCACTATAATCTCAAGAACCAATAAAACCTATTAACAGCAGTCCTTTCAGCTATAACAAGATGAGCAATATAAACAGCCAGGCAAAAATGTTTTAAATACGAAATTTTTTAATTTTCAATTTTTCAAATACTAAAAGGAGGTAGTTTTAAATAAAAGATGGTGACTTTGATGCATGTTTATGGCAGCACCATTTACAATAGCAAAGACATGGAACCAACAGTGCTGCCCATCAAAAGAGGACTGGATAAAAAAATGTGGTATTTATACATGATGGAATATCATGCAGCCATAAAGAAGGACAAAGTTATGAACTTCACAGTAACTTGGATGGACTTAGAGGATATAACGCTGAGTGATCTCTCACAGAAACAAAGAACTGAGTATCACACGTTCTCACTCATAAGAAGACCTTAAACAACTATTGTAATACTGTAAGAAAGGGATTGGCAGTAGTGGGAAACTGCCAGGGGAGGGCGGGGCGGGATTGGCAGTAGTGGGAAACTGCCGGGGGCAGGGAGGGGCACACCTCATCAACAAGGGTCCGTGCATAATGAACATTTGTATACCTAACCCTGAATTGTACCCAACATATTTGAAATTAAAATGTAAAAAAAGATGGTGACTTTGGACTAAGAAAGACATAGATTCAAATCCCAGGGCCACCATTTTTTAACTGGGTGCTTTACAAACATTATCACATAAAAATAAACTTATATCTCTACCTTACACCATAATAAATTCCAGATGAATTGGATTTAGATATAAAAGTTCTAGGAAAAAATACAGATAGAAAGTCCTACATTCTTCGGTGGATGCCTCTTCTAAGTATAACACTATAGTGTCTTCAGTTGTATCCCCCCACCCAAAAAGATTTGTCCAAATCTTAAGCCCAGTAACTATGAATTGTGATCCTATTCTTAAACAAAGTCTTTGCAGATGCAATTAACTTAAGTATCTTGAGATGAGACCATCCTGGATTTAAGGAGGACCCTAAACACAATAACCAGTATCCTCATAAGAGAAAAGAGAAGAAAATGTCAGATGCGGAGACACAGGGAGGACAAGGCCTACTGAACACAGGGAAAGGGACTGAAGCCATGCTGCTACAAGCCAAAGAATGCCAGAGCCACCAGAAGCTGAGAGAAGTCAGGAAACATTCCAAGTTAACACATGAAGAAGACCTGTTGGACTCATTAGTAGACTAGACATGGTAAAGGAAATATACTCTGAACTTGAGGATATATGTTCATGGAAACTTCCAGAACTGAAAGCAAAGACACTAAAGAATAAAAAAATTAAAAAAAAAAAAACCACCAGAATATCGAAGAAGTACAGGACAACTACAAAACTTTGGAAGAATCACTGTCTTGCCAACAGCTTGACTTCACACTTTTGGCCTCTAAAACTGTGAGGGAATACATTTCTATGGTTTTAAGCTAGCATAATTGCAGAAATTTGTTCTGGCAACCCTAGGAAACTAAAATGCATAAAGATCAATATATTTCCATACAGAAATCTGATAAAATCATTAGTTAAAATATGAATATCCCAGTAGAAAAAAAAACAAAGATGACAAAGAAATGCCATTTAAAACTAGATAACTAACTTTTCATATATGACACTAGCAAAGATTAAAAGGAACCAGAATGTGGGAAAGTAGCTTTCCCACCCATAAAGTAACTTAAAACAATCTTGAATAAAGAATGCAGATGTGACTTCTAGCTTCCAGCCTGCCATGTAAAGAACTCAGAAGTGGCCACTCCATCCTAACAAGTAAAAATGAGCAAAGTAAAGATGAGCAAACTGACAAATCAACAACTCTTCTTAGAATTGTAAGAGAAGTTGGCAGGATAAACCACCACCTCCAAAATCAGAGAGACAGACAGAGGCATACAGAGAATCAAAACATTCCAAAGCATAAACTCCCAAGCAAAGACTTCCACAGTAACTAGCACCAGGGTAGAAAAGCCTAAAATGTCATTGATAAATTGCTGCAAGCTCAGTGTGGAAAGCCTGAGAGTCAAAAACTACAGGGGCACCCAGTGATACGGTAGGCCCCCCAGGCTTTTATGTGTTACTTCTAGGAACACATCCAGGTTCTTACAGCAAATACTGGAGAAAATTTCTCCTAAGCCTCCAGTGGAAAGAGAGGAAATGGGGCCATTTTGAAATGTGATACAACACATTGTTTTTAACAAGGTCTGCCCTCAGAAAAATTAATTTTTTTTTTTTTGAGTTGGAGTCTCACCCTGTCACCCAGACTGGATGGAACCCAACCTCGACCTGCTGGGTTCCGGAGATCCTTCAGCCTCAGCCTTCCAAGTAGCTGGAACTACAGGCACACGCTACCACGCTCGGCTAATTTTTTGATTTATTGTAGAGATGAGGTCTTGCCAAGTTGCCCAGGCAGGTCTCGAACCCGCGGGTTCAGGCAATCCACTCACCTCAGCCTCCCAAAGCGCTGGGATTATAGGCTGAGCCACCGAGTCCGGCTAGAAAAACTAATTTAACCAGACCCTAACCTGCTGGGCTTTTAATCTAAACCAAATTAACTTGGGGGAAAGAAAATACTGAACTCCAGCACCCTGTAGTATTCTATGCAACCTAAGAAGGAGAAAACAAAACGAGAGAAAACACTTGTGAAATTCACACTTCAAAGGCAGAGGCTAACTTAAAGACCAGGACTAAATCACAGAATGATGGAATGCTTCCCCCCACACCCACACACTTTAGTATAACTTAGTTGAAGGCCTATTTACAGTTACAAGGCACACTAAAAGGTAAAAAACAGTTTGAAGAGACAGAGCAAGCATCAGAACCAGACACGGCAGGGTTTTTGGAATAATCAGACCAGAAGTTTAAAACTACCATGATTAACATACTATGAGTTCTCATGGAAAAAGCAGCCAACATGCAAGAACAGATGGGACAATATAAGCAGAAAGATGGACCAGCTAGGAAAAAATAAAAAAGAAATGACAGTATCAGAAACACATGAAGATGACCTGTTGGGCTCATTAGGAGACTGGACCTGGTAGAGGAAAAATACTCTCAACTTGAGTATATGCTCATGGAAACCTCCATAACCTAAAGAAATTAAAGAATAACTAAAATAAAAAATAAAAAAAAATCAAAGTATAGGACAACTACAAAATGAAGAAACAAAGGTAAGAATGACAGCTAGCATCTCCCCAAAAAACAAGCAAGCAAGAAGGGAGTGAAGTGAGATAGTTTAAAAAACTGAGAGAAAGAAGTCACAATCCTAGAATTCTGTATGCTTCAAAAGTATCCTTCGAAAGTGAAGGGGAAATTAAGGCTTTCTCAGACGAACAAAAATTGGAGGTATTTGCTGCCAGTAGACCTGCCTTGCAAGAAATTTTAAATCTTAAAATCTTTCTTTTGAGAGAAGAAAAATAATACAGGTTACAAACTTGTATCTATAAAAGAAAGGAATAACATCAAGACAGAATAGATGAAAGTAAAACAAAAACTTTTATTTTTCTTATTTTTAATTGACGTAACTGTTTAATATAAAAATGGCAACAATGTATTCAACCATGTATGTTTTTGCGTGTATATGCATGTATGTGTGTGTGTGTATATATATATGTGGGTGAAAATATATGTGCTTATGAACACTTATAAAGTAAAATGAATGAAACCAATGATATAAGGGATGAAAGAGAGGAATTAGGAATCGTTTGTCATGAGGAAATCAACCTGTGAAGCAGTTTAATGCTATTTGAAAGTGAGCATGAATTAACTGGAAATGTACACTGGAAATTCAAGAGCAGCCACCAAAAAAAAAAAACAGGAAAAAAAGAATTGTACCTGATATACTGAGAAAGAGAAAATGGAATCATATAAAAAGCTGAATTAAAACCACAAAGAAGCTGGGATCAGTGGCTTATGCCTGTGAACCCAGTGCTTTGGAAGGCCAGGGTGAAAAGACTACTTTACAAAATAAACAAACCAATAATACAGGAATAAAAGGGCATGCCTGCAACCCTTGCCGCTTGGAACACTAAGCAGGAGAATCATGTGAGCCCAGCAGTACGAGGTTACAATAAGCTAAAATTGTACCACTATAGTCCAGACTGAAAGACAGACCAAGACCCCGTCTCTAAGAAATAAATAAATAAAACCACAAAATGAAAAAAAAAGTAAATGAAAAACTAGCAAAATAGAAAACAGTGACAAATATGATAGATATTAACCTAAACAATAACAATAACCACTTCCAAAGTAAATGGTCTACATACCTCAACTAAATGAACAAAGATTTTTTTCACAGGGGATCAAAAACAAGGCCCAATTATCGGTTGTCTACATGAAACCCACACACAGGTTAAAAGTAAATGGATAGAGAAAGATATACCGTGAAGCACTAATCAAAAGAAAGC